GCACAGTGGTTAAGAATCAGCCTGCCGATGCAGGACACGTGGGTGCGAGCCCTGGTCCAGGAAGATCCCACATGCCACGGGGCAACAAAGCCCGTGTGCCACAACTACTGAGCCCTCATGTCACAACTACTGAAGCCCGCGTGCCTAGAGCCCGTGCTCCGCAACAAGAGAAGCCACCGCAATGAGAAGCCTGCGCACCGCAACGAAGACCCAACGCAGCCAAATACAAATATAAATTTTTTTTAAAAAATTCATCTTGAAGAGAAAATACTCAAGAGTAATAGAAATTTTGATCAAAACACATACAGAAATTAAAATATTGTGGTACTGAATCTGGAATAGATGCACGAACAATGAAATGAAACAGAGAGGTCAGAAACAGACCACTGTACACATGAAAATGTTTTACAGAGGAAGCTTTTCAACATGGTGGAGAACAGATATTCACTCAACAGTGTTATGTCAATTAATCTGAAAATATAACGTTAGATCCATATTTCACATCATACATCATTCCCATTAGACTGAATTACTAAATCTAATTTAAAAAGTTGCTTTAAATACTGGGAAGTAATATAGGTCATTTATTAACCAAACACAAAAGGCATAAGGGAAATGAGATACACGACCATATAAAAATGAACACCAAACATTAAAAGAAAAGTTAATACCAATTCTTCATAAACGCTTCCAAAAATTAGAAGTGCAGGGAACACTTCCAAACTCATTCTATGAGGCCAGCATTACCCAGATACCAAAACCAGACACAGACGTTACAAGGAAAAAAATCGCAGACCAATATCTCTTATGAACATAGATACAAAAACACTCCACAAAGTATTAGCAAGCCAAATCCAGCAACATATAAAAAGAGTCTTATACCACGGCCAGTGAGATTTACCTCAGGAATGCAAGGTTAAAACTTAACATCTGAAAACCAATTCACCCTATCGATAGAATAAAGGCCAAACCCCACATGATCAGCTCAATAGATGGAAAAAAAGCATTTGACACAATTCAACACCCTTCCACGACAAAAACACTCTAGAAACTAGGAATAGAAGGGATTCTTCCTCAACCTGAAAAAGGGCATGTTACCCCACTGCTAACATCATGCTTAATGGTGAAAGACAAAGCTTTCCCCCAAGACCAGGAACACGACAAGGCTGTCTAGTCTTGCCACTTCTATTCCATGTTGTGCAGAGGTTCCAGCCAGACAAGTAGGCAAGAAAATGAAATAAAAGGCATCCAGGGTAGAAAGGAAGAAATAAAACTACCCTCATTCATAGATGACATCATCCTGTACATAGACGATCCTAGGTTTTCATCCACTAAAAACACTATTGGAACTAATAATGAGCTCAGCAAGGTAGCAGGATATGAGATCAATATATGAAAACCAAATGTATCTCTATACACTGTGTGGTAAGCGGGATCACGGCTCCCCAGAGATGTCCCTAATCTCCAGCACCTGTGAATACATGACCTCACGTGGAAAAGGGGACTTTGCAGATGTGATTAAGTTAAGGATATGGGATGGGAGATGATCCTGGATTATCTAGGTGGGCCCAGTGTAATCACGAGGGTTCTTACAATGGAAAGAGGGAGGAAGGAGAGTCAGAGTCAAGGAAAAACAGGACAACAAAAGCGGAGCTCAGAGTGACGCAATTTCTGGCCAAGGAACGCAGGGATCCTCTAGAAGCAGGAAACGGCAGGTAAAGGAACTTTCACCCAGAACCCTGCTGACACCTTGATATTACCTCAGTGAGACCTATTTCAGACTCCTGACCTCCAAAGCCGTAAGATAATAAACTTGTGTTGTTTTACGCCACTGAATTTATAGTAATTTGCTATAGCGGAAATAGGAAACATACAAACTGCAATAGAGAAAATTCCACTTACAACTTAGAAACAAATCTAATAAGATAAACACGAAACTACAAACACGGCTGAAAGACGTTAAAGAAAACCTGTGTAAGTGGATGGACATTCCATTTCATGCATGAGAAGGAATGAAATTGTTAAAATCGTAATCCCCAAGTTGATCTACAGACTCAATGCAATCCTCATCAGAATTCCTCGTGGCTTCTTTGCGGAAATTGATAAGCTGATTTCAAAATTCATATGTAAATTCAAAGGGTCCAGAATGACTGAAACAATCTTAGAAAGAAAAACAAAGTTGGCACCAGCACAAAGATAAGCATATCCTTGGAATAAAATTGAGAGTTCAGAAATAAACCCTCACAGTTATGGTCATATGATTGCCAAGGCAACCAATGGAGAAAGAATAGTCTCTTCAACAAATGGTGCTGGGACAGCTGTACATCCCCGTGTAGAAAGTTACACCCCCTATGTCACACCACATAAAAAATTTACTCCAAACAGATCAAAGACTTAAATGTAAGAGATAAAACTATAAAACTACTTGAAGAAAATATAGGGGTATATCTTCAAGACCTTGGATTATGCAATGGTTTTTGAAATGATACCAAAAGCATAAGCCATAAAAGATATACAGATAGGAGCTCGGGGGCGCAGTGGTTGAGAGTCCGCCTGCCAATGCAGGGGACACGGCTTCGAGCCCTGGTCCGGGAAGATCCCGCATGCCGTGGAGCAACAAAGCCCGTGCGCCACGACTACTGAGCCTGTGCTCTAGAGCCCATGGGCCACAACTACTAAGCCTGCGTGCCACAACTACTGAAGCCTGTGCGCCTAGAGCCCGTGCTCCACAACGAGAGAAGCCACCACAATGAGAAGTCCGTGCACCACAACGAAGAGCAGTGGTGCAGCTGCTCTGGAAAACAGTGCGGTGGTTCCTCCACAGCGAAACACAGGGCTGCCCTATGACCCAGCAATTCCACTCCTGGGGACACACCCAAGAGAAGAGAGAACACACGTCCACACAGAAAGTTGTTACAGCGATGTGCATAGCAGCATCATTCACAACAGTCAAGTGCTCATCAACTGATGAGTGTATAAGTGAAATGTGACATATCCCTAAAATGGAATGTCACTCAGTAATAAAAAATGAAGCACTGACATATGCTACAACAGGGATGAACCTTAGAAACATTATGCTAAGCAGCCCGCTGCAAAACACCGTATATCGTATGATTCCATGTGTATGAAATGTCCAGAACAGGCAAATCTACACAGACAGAAAGTACATTCTGTGGTTTTCTAGGGCTGTGGTAGGGGTGGGAGAAAAGGAAGGGGAGTGAACGTTGACGGCTATGGGTTTGGTGGGGAGATAATAAAAATGTCCCCAAACTGATTTTGATGATGTGCTAAAAACCACTGAGCCGTACATTTTAAATCATGTTATTTAACCATATCTCAATAAACCTGTTACTTAAAATAACACAAGTCCACAAGCATACATTTTATAGTCTATAACGCACACACAGCAGTACGTAGTAACTGTATACTTAAAGTTTTTACCTGTATGATATCACACCTTCTGGTATCTTATATTTTCAGTCACGGTTATCTTTCATATTAATCCATTAATAAACTTATTGTATGAATAAAAACTTTTAATTGTTCAATCCTAAAATATACCAAAGGAAAACCTTCCCTCGATCCCGTAAACTTTGCCAGCTGCCCCATCTCACCGCTCCCCTTCAGAACGAGACTTCTCAAGTTTCTACGCGTACGATTTCCGCTTCCTTACCCACTCCCACCCCCTTTATTCTACTCACGCTGCACTGACACTGTGGGTCAAGGTCACTGTCAACCTCCGTGTTACCACAAATACCGGATTTCAACTTAAGAGGCACATTTACAACTATTTCCAACAACTCTAAACTGGGACGTTTTACGGTTTGACGGCATCCAGCCTTTCTAAATGTTAGCATTTTTGCCTTAGTAGCATATTAAAATAATGGTGATTCTTCTAACAGGTGGCATCTGACATTGGATGAAACATGGCACAGGGGACAGATCTATCGTCTCACCTGACCCTGAAGCTGTCTGGGTCCCAGTTGACGTCAACCTTCTTAAAAGGTTTCCCTTTCCTGGCTTCAAGAACAATCCCTCCTCTAGTTTCCCCCAGCACCTGCCCGTTCCTAAGCGTCCTTTGCTGGTTCACACGACAGGCACTCAAGCTTCCAGCGGCGATCGCTTCTCTCTGCTCTCTGCAGGGTGATTACACCCAGCCCCACGGGGACACCTGTTGGACCACTACAGCTCGTGCCCAAACCTCCACTCAGCAGCCCAGACTCAAACCTGCCCGCGAAGTTCCCGTTTCTCCTGGGACGTCAAACGCATTTCCAGCCACCTCGTCTACAAGAAGCTCCCGGTTTTCCCCTGACCTCAGCCTCTCTCTCAGGCCAGAAGCCTGGTCATCACCCATGGCTGCTTCTTTTCTCCCAGTACTTCTTACTCATGAGATGCAAAATACACCTAAAATAGGTCCACTGTCCCCGTCCCCTGGTCCAGACCACCGCCATCTCTAGGCTACACCCCAGGCTCCCATTCAGCCCCTCCATTACTCTCTCTCTCCACTCACTTCCCTGTGGCCGGATAGGACCTCCCTGTAAAACACGTGGGACCAGCTTCGTCTCCTGCTTACCAGCCTCAGGGCCATGTACTGCAGTCAGACTCAGAGCCTTACTGGACCTGTGTGATACTGTGATAGAGTAAGAAATATATATTCTGGTCTTCCTCCCAGCTCCTGGCCAGACTCTAAAAATACCTTTGTAATTTCCTAAGTGATAAGAGACACTGACAGAAGCATCTTTTGTAGTAAGATCTGGGTTTTATCCCTCGCTCCAGAAACGGCTCTGGAGTAATTCAGGTGAAAAGAGTGTCTTCGTTATCCTTAACAAGACCCTTTTGACCACTCCTAGGTTTGTTAAGGAGGTGAAGTTTGGAAAGCCCCTAAGGAGAGGGGCCTAGTTGCCCGGGTAACCAACCAGGTGATCAGAGGGTTGGAACTTGCCCCAGGCCCTGACCTCCTGGGAGGGGAGAGGGGCTAGAGGAGGAGCTAATCTAATCACCAGTGCTGATGGTCCGACCAGCACGCACGCCATAGTGAAGCCTCCACAAAAATCCGAACTGAAGGGGTTCAGAGAACTTCCGGGCTGGTGACGCACCCCGCTCTCCATGGGGACCGAAGCTCCTGTGCCCGGGACTCTCCATCTGGCTGTTCATCCACATCCTGTAATATAGCCTTTGTAATAAATCGGTTAATGGAAAGAAACTCGCCCTGGGTTTGGGAAGCCGTTACAGCGAGTTACCAAACCCGAGACGGGGCATGGGAGTCTCTTATTTGCAGCCCAGCTGGACAGAGGCGCAGGTGAGCTGTGGCTGGTGTCTGAGCCGAACCTGTGGGGTCTGCTTGGACTCCTGTAGTTGGCGTCGGAGCTGACGCCCAGTCTGTGACCGCAGACAACCGGACAATGGGTTGGCGTGAAAATGCACACGTGAGGTGTTGCATATGTGCAGAAAAAGCTTTCCCTTCAGCCTGCAAGCCCAGCCTGCCTGCTTGCTTCAGCCGTACCCGCTCCCGCTTGTGAGGAGCCCCTTTTAGAGGGTCACCTCCCCCCTAACGCAGGCCCACAGCACCGACCCTTCCTCCCGGCTCTTCCTTACCTGCTGACTGGAGTCTATCTGCCCCATCCCAGCAGAGACCACGTCTGACGTGCTCCTCAGGCCTGGCAGCCGCACGGCAGGCTCTCCAGGATTGGGGGGAGGAGGTGCGTGAGGCATCAGACATACCGTATCATCAGACGTCCGCAGGGCTTTCACCCGAGTCCTCACCTTGAAAGGTTCCAGAAGGCAAAACCTGCACAAGAGGGACGATCCAACGCGAGGAGACACTTCCGCTCCGTCTCGGGTAAGAAGCAGGAAGACCCAGAGGCGTGCAGCGCCCCGGGGGAGCTGTCAGAGCGCGGCGGTGCTAGGGCGAGCAGGGCTGCTCCCTCCACAGCATGGTCACCTCCAGCCCCTCTGGGTGTACAGGTCTGTCCCGAGGTCCCCTGATTTCACGGAGACCACAGAGGCAGCAACCGAATTCCCCAGCAAGACCGGACGCACAAACAAAGCCGCTCTCCTAGCCCGATCCTCGCCTGCAGGAAACCAGAGGCGAAAGGGGGAAGGGCCTTCAGGGCGAGTCCAGGAGAGCCTGGGTTACAGTATGAAAACGGAATTCAGACCAGTGTTCAGGTTTACTCCACTTTATTAAAAACTACAACGACAGAAACAAGAACTCAGTGTACAAATGAGAGAATGAGGAAAGGGCCAGGTAGGAGAACAGATCACACAGCAATGGTGAGGGGGTGGCCCGGCTCCGACGACCCTCACCATCTGACCCCAAACCCACTCCTCCCACTGGCGGAGGCCAAGGCTGCAGGGCCGTCAGAGGACGCGAGGCTGTGCCGACAGCTTAGGGTCCCATCTGTGCAGGACCCACACGCTGCCCCTACTCACGGGAGCCTAGAGAAGGCTGCAGGACACAATTCAGAAAAACGCTGCAAATACTGAGAACTTGCTCTTCAACCACAGGCAGCAAAAGCAACAGGACACGGAACTCATGCCAAGAGGCCAGCAGTTCTGGTGACACCCTTCCGTGCTCAGCCCCCTAGAACAGCCCCCAGGGGCCCGAACACAATCGACTTCAATCCCCAGAAGGTCAGGCGAACCTCCTGCAAGTGGTGGGCGGTTGTCAGAGGGCTATAAACGCAGCTCTGGGAAGTCAAGTGCCCCGAGATGAGAGCAGAGGAAGTGAGTCAAGGAAATAAAACACCTCGGCCGTGGGGTGGATGCAGCCACACGGCACCGCTGCGAGCCCGGCCCCAGGACTCGGAGCCCCGCGCAGTTTGGTTGTGGGTCCCTGCAGCAGAGTGAAGTCAGCACCAGGTCTGACCTTCCACCAGGACCACGGAGCTGCTGCGGACGCTCAGAACTGCTGAAGGATCATCTTGCGTTTCAGGTCGTGGGTGAACTTGTGCATCCTGAAGAGCTCACTGTCGTAAAAGGCAGACAGGTTGTGGATGTTGATCTGACGAGCCTGAAAAGAGGGGACGACCAGTGAGCCGTGCGGACGCGTGGGCAGGTCCCGAGCCCGAGGCCCCAGCAGGCGAGGCAGGCAGGCGGGGCCTCTGTCCCCGTCACAGGGAAGAGCGAACCGCTCTGAGGCCGAGGGAGGGTCTGCAGCTGGACACGGGGCTTGAAATTTCAGCCCGGACAACGGCCGTGAACTCGGACAAGCTGCGTGGTTGCCCCGGCCCAGCGCGTCGGCAGGACGGGTGACAGTAATGGGACAGTAGTAGGACACGTGCGTTGTGACGGCCCGGGCAAACCCCGCCCCTGGCCACGCCCATACCTTGTCCACCAAGTCCTTCTCGGGCACCTCGATCGTGTCCTGCTGGGCCCCGAAGCGGTTGCGCTGATACGTCACCTGCTCGGCCACCAGCTGCTTCAGGATGAAGAGCAGCAGCTCGTTGTTGTCCCGGCGGAACGACAGGTAGCGGGCAAAAGTCTACGGCGAGAGCGGAGGTGACCCTCCTGCCAGGCCCCCCCGAGCCAGCTGCTCCTGGCAGCAGAGGCAGGTTGGACTCCCGCGGCCCAGGCCCCGCCCCCATGGCCCAGGCCCCGCCCCCACCTTCCGCATGCTGCGCATGACGCTGAACTTCTGGGTGTCCACGAAGCTCTCGAGCATCACGCGGATGGCCATGTTGACGTCATCCTCCATCACGTAGTCCCGCAGGTGGATGCGCGCGTGGGCCTCAGCCATGCGGATCATGGATTCGATGTGACGCACCGTGATGGGGATGCTGCCCGTGGCCTGGAGGGAGGGCCGCGTCAGGTCTCCCCGCGGGACGGCCAGCACGTGGCAGAGGGGCAGAGCTGGTGCCGCCGGGAGGCCCAGCTGACCCCCCTGCAGGGCGGCGCCCACCGGAGCCAGGCGCGCCCAAGCTTCCCCTGGTTCCCAAAGCGCGAAGGCTCACGGCTGCCACCGCCAGCCCAGCACGTGTGCTCCTGGCAGCTCCCGGGCACCCGGAGTCTACACGCCTGTGGGCGGCTGTATTTGTTACTGTCAGGTACCAGGGACCGCCTGACGCAGTGCAGCACAGGGAGAAAACAAAGCTGTGTTTCTGTGAAGCCCAAGCTAATGCTCTGAAAAGACGTGATTAAGTGAAAAGGTGTTGTTAGGAGGGAGGGAAAGGGAAGGAGCGGTGGCTGTCATGCTTAGGTAGGTGAGAGGGAGCAACCTGCAAGAACTCTGCAGTCCACCTGCTTGCAAGCTGCCTTTAAATCTCTCCCCACCACGAGTGAACGCAAACTAGCTCAGGCGCGTGCTCATTCGGGTGAGATTTTCGCAAAGTCACTGGAACTAAATCAACGGCCCAAGAACAAAGACCTCAGCTGTACCCTGAGACAGACAAACGCACGTACGTTTAAGTTCCGTCTAAACAAAACAGTTAAGGTGAGTAAGTATCGTGTCTTTAAGGCCGTCCTGCTGCTCCAGTGCTCCTGGACCCACTGAGCACACAGACAAGGCTCTGCTGTGCGTCCCCCTCTGCCCCACCCTACCTGCCCCACCTGGCCCTCACCATGGATTCCTTCCTCAGGTCACTGTACATCTTGGCCACCTTGTCCTGGTCCATCTGGTTGAGCTTCGGGTGGACCTTCTCCTTGGCGTAGATGATGTACTTCTTCAGGACCTCCTGCGGCAGGGGCTCCACGCCATATGTGTTGGGCATGGGGGGCTCCGGGGCGCCCCCCAGGTCCCCATCCTCCTTGTTGCTGGGGTGATGTCTGATGTGGCTGCCGACCACGAAACGGGCCAGCATCTCATCCTGAGACAAGACGGAGAGGACAAGAGCGGGCTGAGCCTGGCGCCTGGCTTGGAGCAGGTCAGCTCACTGAAGACGCTCTGTAACGACACGTGTCCCCCACCCGCCATGGGCCGGGAGCTCCTGGGGCGCACCCCCCCAGTGAGGGCAGAGGAGACAGACAGAGTTCACACTATAGGAAGAAGAGAAGCACGTGGTGGGATGGAGGCCGGAGGACAGCCTCCAGCTGAGGCCACCAGAGCCCCAGTCACAACACCTGAGAGAAGAGAACAGAGCGCGAGTGAAGCCCGAGAAGGTGAGGGGGTGTGGATGAGAAAGGGGCAGGGGGAGAGACCTCTCGGGGACGGTGGACTCCCCGCCAGAGAGATGGGATGGGAGGCCGAGAGCAGGTCTGTAAGGAGAGGCAGGTCCGCCGTGCCCCCAAAGACGGCTGGCCTCTGACAGGAGAAGCCGGGGGCCCAGGACCAAGGCTGCAGTGCATCGGGCCAGAGGAGGGAAGCTGGGACGAGGTTCATAGCAGCGAGAAGTGAGGAGACTCGGGAGCTGGTGGCAGAGCGTGGGCGATGCTGGGTGGGTGGCCGGGGAGGGGCTGGCGAAGGAGAGAAATCAAGGAACTCTGGACTGAGAACAAGTGGAAAACACACGGTCCACACGGCAGCCCTTCCCTGAGCCTGGCGAGCCACAGCCCTGGGCCGACGCCAGGTCCCCAAACTCACTGCGCACACCCAGGGCGTGGGCTGCATACCTGGACTGGGTCCACTGTGTCCCTCACCACACACAGGACGTCGAAGCGGGAAATGATGGGCTCCGTGAGGTCCACGTTTTCCGAAAAGGTGAGCGAGGGGTCATAGCGGCCACCTGCATCACAAAGGCAGGTCCCCATCAGGGCTCCCGCTCCCTGGGGCCCCTCTTCTCCTCGACTGGACAAGGTTCTTTCCAACCCGTGTGGCTTCACTGACGAGAGGGGAATCAGTGGTGGAGGGATGCAGGGCCTGCCCCAGGCACCCCGGACAAGCCCGCGTGAGGCTCTCCCCACCTGCCCCAATCGGCCCGAGGCCGCTCAGCCGCCTCCCGCGAGGAAAACCCGGGGACAAGGTGGCAGGGGCGCCTGGGCTCTCTAACCACTTGCTGGCTGAGACCGACGGCCAGTCCCACCCTATTAAGCGCTAGGTGCTCCTCCTGTCTCCCGAGAACACGGCTCGACGAAAGCCCGGGGGTCTCCCGTCCTCCCGCCCCCGCCCCCCAGCAAGAAACGCAGGAGAGGAGCACTTGCTGCTGCTCGGTCCCTTCCTCACTCAGTGGCGCGGGTCCCAGAGCAGGGGCCCCCGGGTCTGCTCCCCCTCTGGCCGTCGCACCCACGCACCTATGGGGTTGGCGGCAGCAATGACGGTGCAGCGGGCCTGCAGGGAGGTGACGATGCCGGCCTTCGAGATGGAGATGCTCTGCTGCTCCATGGCCTCGTGGATGCTGGTCCTGTCCTGGTCGTTCATCTGCACGGCGGGCAAACGCAGGATTCTTGCCCGACCGCGGTCTCTCAGACGAGGCCCCCGCGCGCCCCACGAACACGCGCTCCCCACCGAGGGCTCAGCCCACACGTCAGCTCTGGGCCCGGGGACCCACCTTGTCAAATTCATCGATGAGACACACTCCTCGGTCCGCCAGGACCAGGGCCCCAGCCTCCAAGGCCCACTCCTTGCTGACGGGGTGCCGCTGGACGTATGCCGTGAGGCCCACGGCCGAGGCCCCCTGGCCGGTGGTGAAGATGGCTCTGCTGGACACTTTCTCCATGTACTTGAGGAACTGAGACTTGGCCGTGCCGGGATCTCCACAAAGGAGCACGTTGATGTCACCGCGCACCTTGTGCTTGCCGCCTGGGGCAGGAACGGGGCAGAGGGGGCTCAGGACAGAGCTGGATTATCCCCGATTTCCCAGCCTGCTTACCGCAAACAACAAAGCAATATTCTTTCTAGAAAGGGACGTAATGCCCAGGACCCACCCCACTCTGAGCACAGAACCCAGAACCATGGTGCACAAGGAGGTGCCTATGAAGACGCTGTTTGTCCTGTACACACTGGAGGCTGTGCACGTGCTCTCCAGCCAGGAGGACAGCTGAATGCGGCACGATGTGGACCAGCACACGGTAACTTCAGAGCGTGAGCTCGTTCTCTGTGTGCCCACAGGAAACGCTGCCAAAGCCGTGCTGACGGGGCAGCTGGGTACGTCACGGACAGTCC